TAAAGTACGGATATTTCGGGGCACCTGGGTGGCTTAGTTGGTTAAGCGTCCGACTTTCGCTTAGGTCATGATCTCGCAGTTCGTGGGTTCGAGCCCCGCGTCAGGCTCTGTGCTGACTGCCAGCTCAGAGCCTGGAGCCTGTTTCAGTCTGTGACTCCCTCTCTCTCTGACCCTCCCCTGCTCACGCTGTCTCTCTCTCCCGGAAATAAATAAAACATTAAAAAAATTAAAAAAAAATAAATAAAGTACGGATATTTCTTAAGTGAATTTTTATCAATCTGACATTACATTGTAATAGGTAAGTGGGAGGGGAGTGAGGTTCTAAAATCAGACCATGAAGGTTCTATTCCAGTTTTGCAACATTGAAGTGTGGGCATATAAATATGTCTATAAGCGGTACGTATGTGGAAGGTCTCGGGTAAGGTCTTCACTGAGTTTCCATTTGAGCTGCAAAAAGGGAGTAACGATTGCTACAAGACTGCTTTCACAAGGCTCATTTAATTAAATGAGATAATACCTAATATTATCTTGACATAATGCCAGCAACGTAGGCAGCACACAATAATGGCGGACTATTGTTAGTAAAATCAGTGCTGAACTTGTCCATGAAAACATAAACATTTCCGAAGGGTGACCCTGTAAAATGTCGTCCTGAAAGAATTGGGTGGCACTGCAGCAGCCCTCCACCTGGGCCTTTGACCCCCAATCTCTCCCTCCTTGAGGCCATACTCCAGAATGTCGAAAGTACTTGCTTCCCAAGAAACAAATCTGATAACGGGGCGCCGGAGTCCCCGTTGGCTCAGAATAGAAGCCGTGCTCCTCCGCTCAGCTTACACAGCCCCTTACAGTGACGACCCCACTTCCCTTCCAATCCCACCCGATGCCTTTCTCTGCAGGAATGCCAGCTTCTCCTGCACCTGCAGGCCCAGAGCTCAGCACCACGTCCCCTCTGAAGTGGTACCTCCAAGCACTCAGTTCTTAGCACTTGCTGGGAGCAATAGACTGCTGGTTACACCTATGAAGTGGGAAGCCAAACAGCCCAGATTCAATTCTGGTTTCTTCCTATGACCTAGGGCAAGTTTATTCAATTGTCCTTTCCTTAGTATTTTTATCTATAAGGTGTGAGAAATAATATTTTTAAATCCATTTGGTTGTTAATGAGAATTAAGTGACGTAACATACAGAAGGCATGTTAGTCCATATAGTTAGTTCCTGACATATAGTAAGTGCTCAGTGAGTATTAGCTGTGCTAATAGTAATTATCATCATCATCATCATCATTCCACCAGAGTGTAAATTCTTTTTTTTGTAATATTTATTTATTTATTTTGAGAGAGAGAGAGAAAGACTAGGGGAGGGGCAGAGAGAGGGAGAGAGAGAATCCCAAGCAGGCTCTGCACTATCAGCACAGAGCAGATGAACTGTGAGATTGTGACCTGAGCCAAAACCATGAGTTGGATGCTTAATCAACTGGGCCACCCAGGTGCCCCCAGAATGTAAATTCCTTAAGAATAGAGACTGTCTATATTGTTCACTGCCTGACACATGAAAGGTGCTGAGTGTACAGCTGGTAAGTAACACCCAGCCCTTGGTATGTGGTTCGCTGTTTACAGAACTCCCTCAGCAGTCCGTGAGCGGACCATGAGTCTAATCAGTCCTGCATCTCTGAGGTCTGCTCAATGGGCACAGAACAGATCCTCAATAAACGTTTGCTGAATGAATATGTGAAGGAAACTTCAAGATTACATGTACATGTTATATCCCAGGAAAATATTGGCTCCAGATCTACGTTTATCAAAAATTCATACCCTAAGTTTGATGGTGACCCTGTTGCACTTGGTGTATGTGTATGGTTGCAGGAAGATTTTGAAAAGCAGGCAGTGTGTCTGGGGGCTACTTCTGGGCCTGTCTCCAGAACAGAACAAAGTTCCTCTGGGAGCTCCTGGTCCTGTGCATCCTCATTACCTCCCCTGCCCCTTGCCCCTTCTTGAGCCCCACAGCCATGCTTCTCCTTTGCTACAGCCGGTGAGAGCTGTGGCTGGTAAGGGGCAGACCAAGCCTGGCTGGAGGGAAGCCGGACACAGGTGTGTCTCAATCCAGGAAGTTTTCCCCCAGAATGGAAGCCTTCTCTCTTTCCTTACGGGCCAGGTCGTTCTCCCTCCCTGCTTCACAGGAAACCTTCTCCTTCTTCCAGAAGGAAGTATAAACATTTCCCCACAGTATCTGAGCTTTTCTGCTTTCAGTTCCTCTGTGTAAAGTGAAAACAAAATCAGGAGGGGGGACAGATTGAGTATGATGTGAGTAAATGCAGTCTGTATGTAGTCCTTACTAAATTATAACTCAATACCAAAAGACTGCTGTTTTATGAGCCTTGCAGTAACCAAAACTATTTATTATTCTAAGTGCAAGCAGATTTATGATCTGAAACGCCCACCGTGTTTGCTGTCTTGAGGAAATGGGGGGGGGGGGCGACATACAGTGCAGCGTTTGACATGATAGCTTTCATGCCAGCTGCCCGGCCGTGTCTCCTGGCCCCTGAGGTAGCTCATCTGTCTTCCCGCCAGTGCGGTGGGGCAGCTGAGGGTTAGTATTTCCATTTATGGGTGTAGAACTTAGAGACTGAGGTTAACAGAGTTGTCCTTGACTAACAGTAAGTTTGGGAAACACACATGATTTCTTTGTGTCCTTGCCGAGAGCATCCCTCTCTGCCACAGTTCATGCGTAAGTGTTGTGGGTCCAACAGCATCCCCTCTACCATGGCCATGTCCATCCTCCAGCCCCTGTGCTCTCTCCCCACCCACTACCCAGCCCTGCACCTGTGAAGATGCACCTCCCTCAGGGGCAATCTGGCATTCCCACGCCTTGGCTGGGAGGGGCCAGGGTGTTTAGTTCCCTGGCTTTTTGGTCAAAGACATTCCAGGGAGTAAGAGCTACCTTTAAACAGCTTCCAGTAGCTTCCGCCAAGCACTCAGACTGGGAGTCAGTCGAGTCCCAATTCTGCCATTAACCTGCTGTACTGCCCTGAACAGGCCACCCAACCTCACTCCTTGTAAATGGGCTGGGAAGTGGGGGGGAAGATTTGAGAATCTGGTCATGCCGTCAGTGGTGTCGCCTGAAGACACAGGCCCTGAACATGATGAGTGTAATTTCAAGAGGGTCACTATCTTCCATCCCCTTCAGCCCCTCTGTGTACCCCATAGGTCCATCAGCCCTGGGTAAGAACCTCTAGGCCAGTGAGCTTGGATGCCAAAGGGGAGCCCCAAGTATAGATTTTTAACGAGCAACTTCAGTAATTTATCTTCTTACTACAAACTGTTTTTTTTTTTTTAAAAAAAAAAAGAAAACAATTGCGGTGCCTGGGTGGTTCAGTCAGTTAAGCATCTGACGGGCTCAGGTCATGATCTCACAGTTCGGTAATTCAAGCTCCATGTCTGGCTCTGTGCTGACAGCTCAGAGCCTGGAGCCTGCTTCAGATTCTGTGTCTCCTTCTCTTTGCCCCTCCCCCCCACTCTCTCTCTGTCTCTCTCTCAAAAATAAACATTTAAAAAAATTATAAGTAAAAAGATTTTTTAAAAAGAAAATTATCATAAACCCACTGCCTGCGAAATCACTATTAATAATATCCCTCAGTCTTTCTGTATATATATAAATCCACATGTGTCAGAAATGTTTTCACATGTCATTTATTATTTGAAAACAGAAAACAATGTCTAAACAGTAATTAATTGCATGGGAGTTCTAAGATGTATTGTTAGCCATTCTCTAATTGAAAACAACATTTAGGTTGTTTTCCATAGTGATCATCATTCTCAGTTGCCGTCATCTGTGCAAACATACCTGATTATTTAACGTGGGATTTCCAGCTTTACTCAGAAAGGGTACCATGACAATTAATACCTACAGCAATTTGCTCTTCAACCTGCCCAGCCCCACCCGACCCTCAAAAGATTGTGCCCATTTCCACTCCCAGCAGCTGGGAGTAAGTGTGGGTGGAGGGGGCTTTAATCTGCTTCCTTGAACCAGCAGCCCTAGAATACTGACACTGAGTGGGATCTCTGCTAAAAGTCACCAACCATCTCAGGTCACGGCAACCGTGTCTATTTGCAGGACCGGCCTAGGCACGTTTTGAAGTGGGTAAAATTTGCCTTTGGTGCCTTCCGCGCTCCCTGGCCCGAACTTGACAGCCACTTGATCTGACAGCAGGGTTGACTCAGCCACCACTCCCCTTGCCTCCCGGGTTCTGTATCAGCTGCTCCACTCCCCACGCCTGGAATCCATCCGCCCTTTTTCTTGTACTATCAGCTGGCTCTGGACTTGGCCTCGTGGATCGGTTCCGGGCATCTCTGTGAACCGGCTGGGGGGAGCAGGCTGAATCCTGAGCAGAACTGCCCATAGTGCAGGGCGGGTGGTGGCGGCAGCAGCAGACCCCGGGAGTAAGACGGTGTCACCAGCCAGAGGGCGGTTTGGCCAGAGGCAAGGGCAGTCGTCACCTCAAAGCCTAGTTACCTGGGCAACCGCCTGCCCAGGCTCTTGCAGGGTTGGTCTTTCAGAATGCTGTTCAAAGAGGGGGCGCCTGGGTGGCTCAGTCAGTTGAGCCTTGGAGCCTCTGGCTTGATTTTGGCTCAGGTCATGATCTCACCGTTTGTGGGATGGAGCCCCGAGTCGGGCTCTGTGCTGACAGTGTGCAGATGCTTGGGATCCTCTCTCTGTCCCTCCCCCTCTCGCTCTCTCTGTCTCTCTCAAAATAAATAAACTTTATATTATATATAATGTCGTCGAAAGAGAGGAGCAGGGCCTTCTGAGAAGACAAATCCATTTCTCGTGAGAATCGGCTGTGTGGAGCATGTTGTCCAGAATGCTTGGCAGAGTTTCAACCATTTTTTTTTCAAACTGTGCTTTTCTCTGGGCCTTAAGTCTGCATATTGGTGACGGGAGTGTGGGGAAGGAGAGGCGGCACACATGGCCGACGCTGCTGACCATCCTCTTTCTTGGCCCCTCAGTCTGATGGCTCCATCCTGGCGATTGCTCTGCTGATCCTGTTCCTGCTCCTGGCCCTGGCTCTCCTCTGGTGGTTCTGGCCCCTCTGCTGCACTGTGGTAAGTGCCCCAAGCTCCTCTTCCTCACCTCAGGCCTCATGCAGACGGTGACGCAAGGTTAACAGGACCATCAGTAGGAGACGGTGATAAAAATCTATGTAAAGATTAAGGACGCATTTTGCATTGTTTATATAATTTGTACAAAGTTGGCAGAAACTAACGTTGCTCGATGGAACCGCAAGTCATTGGGAACCGGTGTGGGCAGGGGGTGAGACTGCCAGCGGGCACAGCCTTCAGGTAGTGCCGCCCAGGTGGCCGCTCTGGTTCCGGCACTCAGGAAGGACCCACAGAATACTGTAGATGACGAGTGTTATTTGGCATGTATCACACACACACATACACACACACACACACACACACATGCATGTTGAATTGCACCAGCTGATACACTTTCAAGACCACCCTGGCCTTCGCAACCAGTTTGCCCATCTGAGACAGAGTGCCTTTGACCTCTTTATTTTTCATAAGAATGAGTGTCACCCACATTTATTTCATTACTCTTAGCTAACATTTACAGGACACATCTACCCTGTGCCCAGCACTTGTCTGGCCACTTCGGCTACAAGATCAGTAAAAGTCTGCCTCCTCCCCATCACGCTCTTCAGGAGCCACCATGTGGCTCTGGCCGGTGTCTCCCCAAATAGCTTCAGGCCTGGAATAACCCACCATCACCTGCTGTGCCCAAAGGAGGAAATGTGCCTGCTTATCAATGTTTGTTCCCTGGCCCCTAGACGAGGTGAAGCCCAAACAAAGTAATAACCAGGTGAAGGAAAACACCATTTGCTTCGGCGCGCCCGCTCCCAGCCCACGCCAGGCCTTTATGCAGACTCAGAGCGCGCGCTGTAAGCCCAGGAGAGTGGAAGTGAGCGCTGCTTGGCTGCCAGGCACCTGCCATCCCCTGTCTGAGTTCTTCCCCGGAGGCTCCGGCAAGGGAGGCGGTGACCCTCTCCAGGCAAGAATTTGCCCTCATTTGCTCTCTGGGCATTCCGTACACAGCACAAGGGAACTCACATCTGTGTGTGGAACAGAGCTCAACAAGGGCCCAAAACTCAGAGCGCTGGGTGGGAAAAGGCCAGGAGAGAGCTTCAAACGACATTTGAAAAAGATGGTGAAGGAAGGAGATGAGAAGGTTGACCAGGATGTGCATCCACGTGGCAGGGACTTCTGGAAAGAAAGAGGCTCTTGCACCAGCAGAGGAAAGAGATGACTGTCAGTAGATCAGAACATGCGTGTGCAGGAGGGACCCGGGGCAGACGCAAGTCTCCAGTCAGCTGGTGCAAGCCGGACCGGACTGACTCACCGCGACTGTGCACATTCTTCCCACAGCAGCCCCAAAAGTGAAACAGTGTTTTCAGTACTAAAGGCTGCACAACCATTTAATTTTGAGGTGGGGGGCGGGGGGCAGGGAACCATGAGTCAGCCGGGGTGCTTTCTATGGTGATTCAAAAACAATTTTCAAGTCTGAAATTCTGAGGGGGGAAAACCTCCCTCAGTGGGGTTCTTAAAGAAGGGGGTGGCCAGGGCTGGAAGTAGTGGTGGCGGCCGGCAGTGAACACTAGACCTTCTACTATAGGCATCACCCTGTTCACCCAGTCCCTTTCATTATTAAAACCATTTAGTCCTGGGTGGGGACACCTAGGAACAACAGAACAGCTAGCAATGCTCCATCGCTTATTAGCTGTGTGATCCCAGGCAAGTTACCTAACCTCTCTGAACCTGTTTCCTCATTGTATAATGAGGAGGATAAGAACAATGACCTCATGAGGAGATGGTGAAGATTAAAGGAGTCATATATATATACTGTTTAGAACATTACCTTTGCACATAGTAAATGCTGTGTATTATTATCAATATTTTAAAAATATTCACTATAATAGGAATATACTACTGTACTCCATGGCACTGCATTTATATTGGTGCAAAATATCCCTTTCTGATGTATAACATTGCATAAGTTTAAGGTGTACAACATAATGATCTGATATTGCAAAATGTTTACTATAATACGTCTGATTAACATCCATCACCTCACAGTGTCACAAATTCTTTTCCCTGTGATGAGAACTGTAAGATTTTCTCCCTTAGCAGCTCTTAGCAGCTGTCAAATATACCATACCGTATTGTTAGCTATGGTCACCATACTGTACATTACACCTCCAGATTTTATTTATCTTATACTGGGATGTTTGTACCTTTTGACCCCCTCACCCAGTTCCCCTGCCACCCACCTCTCCAACCCCACCCCTGGCAACCACAAATCCGATCTGTTTCTATGAGTTTGGGTTTTTTTTAGATTACACATACAAGTGGCATCACACAGTATTTGTCTTTCTCCATTTGACTTACTTCATTTAGCATAATGCCCTCACGTTATATCCAAGCTATTGCAAATGGCAGGAGTTCCTTCCTTTTTGTGGCTGAATAATATTCCATTATATATGTGTACCACAGTTTCTTTACCCATTCATCTATCACTGGACACTTGTTGTTGCCATGTCTTGGCTAATGTAAATATTGCTGCAATGAACATGGAGGCTCAGATACTTCTTCAAGATAATGATTTTATTTCCTTTGGAGATATACCCAGAAGTGGGATTGCTGGATCCTATGGGAGTTCTATTTTTAATTTTTTAAGGAGCCCCCATACTCCAATTTCCATTCTCGACCGCAGTGTACAAGGGTTCCCTTTTCTCCACGTCCTCACCAGTGTTTGTTATCTTTGGTCTTTTTGATGCTATCTGACCATTGTAACTGGTGTGAGGTGATATCTCATTGTGGTTTTAATTTCCAGATAAATGTCTCTGAATTAATGTCTTTCCTTACTGGAAGCAGTGTCACCCAAGGCCAGATTGTTTTGCAATATTCAAAATATTTTTCAATGAATTTTTCTGGTCAAGCCCATGTTGCTTTGGAGAGCAGCCAAAATGTCTTAATGTGATCTGATTTTGTAAGTCCCGAAGGATTTCTTTACAAGGGAAGATCTTGGAGATTAATTTTCCTGTTTATGATATGGATAAAAACTGCCCTCACCCCTATTTCTGAAAGCTGGCCAGGGCTCTGATGCTTGGTGTGCCCCCAAAAACTACGTGTTGAGCAGTGGCTTTCTTGGAGAGTGATGAGATCCGAGGCAACAGGATAAGGTCATGTGTTGTCTAAAGGGAGTATGCAGGAAGGAGGGCAAACATCACCTCCCACCCCATTCCAGAACCCTGGTTCAGAAGATGCAGGAAGTTTCTCTCCCTTGAGGGACAGCGCCCCTAGCCACAGTTCTGGGACTAGCGGAGGGCCTCCTTGTAAATGATGGTCCTGAAAGCTTCCTCCGTCAGTCCCCCTGCCTTGTCCCAAGTGCAGGAAACACCCCGTGACCAGGTACTAAAGGCGCATCGTGACGATGGGAAACAGCCAGGGAGCAGAAGGGTCTGGTGAAATGGGAGGTACAAGAGGTTTGTCTCTGCTGCAAAGTTTTCTCCAGGAGTGATATAGAAACCATTTAACAGCCTGCAAGTCTTTCCATCCCAACTGAGCCAAATATTAACCCTCTAGTGGCTGGATATGGGGCAGCAGTGGGGGGTAGTCCACAAAATCCTGGAGGGTGGCTGGGGGTAGAAGGGCAGGCATTCAGGTTGCTATTTACTGATCATAAAGAGCATTTTAAAATGTAATGAGCAGTATGACCAGACATAGTGGTTACTATCAGGCCTGCCCTCTGCCTCAGCATCCTTGCTTCTTGCCGGCCTTGTCTGGCAGAAGAAATGTGAAGGGTGACCAGCGCTGCCCATTGTACTTTGTCTTTCTTAAAGGACCCCGGTCCCTCTGGGCTCTTGTCTTCCAGCTAGAGGAAACCCGGGGTGACTTCCTGCCCACACCGCACACTATAGTCTATCCGTCATGACTAATGGAGAGAGAGGTAACTGGCCAACTAGATCCTGAATCAAAACTTTTTAGTGTTTTCCAAATCAGCCCTCAGAATCCCCAGGTAAACCTTTGGCTTCTAAGATTTCTACATTTATTCACTGGCCCAAAACCACCCACACTGAAAGGGAAAGAGGCATTGGACCATATATACCCTGGACTTATTTGCATTTTCAAAAAGGGAATTGAAGGGTCAATATTTTACCAGAAACAAATAAAGCCCTGCCTCAGCTTCACAAAGGGCATTGCAGAACCCTTTAAATCATGCAGTAGCCGCTCCATCTACTCGTACGTTTGGCCCAATGTTATTGAAATCTCTAAGTTAAACTTTAAAAAGAAGATTAAGAAATCTCAATGAGAAGAGAATCATGGGAAAAAATAGCTGAAATAGAAGAGTAAATGTTTTCAATGGCTTGAATGTGTAGCGAGAAAAGGTCAACAATGAATCTGTGATATGAGAGCACTAAACTATCCTAGAAAATTCAAGCAGTCCTGCATTTCATAAATTACATGGATGTTGCAATGTAATGTTTTATATGTATCAAATTACATAACAAAAGACATCTATATAAGTTTCTTATTTTTTTAAATTTTATTTCTGAGAGAGAGAGAATGTGTGAGCAGGGGAGGGTCAGAGAGAGAGGGAGACACAGAATCTGAAACAGGCTCCAGGCTCTGAGCTGTTGGTCAGCACAGAGCCCAACACGGGGCTCAAACCCACGAACCATGAGATCATGACCTAAACCGAAGTTGGACACTTAACCGACTGAGCCACCCAGGTGCTCCTCAGTTTCTTAAATAAGATGTAGAAATGTGCCCACTTCCTACTGGGAGATTAATGGTATATCAGGAATCCCAAGTAAAAAGATCTTGACTCATTTTGCCAGGTGAAAAATTCTGGTGAAGCAGGTGGCTGGTTCGTTCTGTAGAGGATATGACTCCTGATCTCAGGGTTGTTAGTTTGGGCCCCATGTTGGGTGTAGAGATTACTTAAAAATAAAATCTTAAAGGGGCACTGAGGTGGCTCAGTCAGTTAAGCATCTGACTTTTGATTTCAGCTCGGGTCATGATCTCACTGTTTGTGGGAT